GATGCGACGAGAACTTTTTCTTCGTATCCTTAATGATGTCAAAGCTTATAATGACTACTTTGTTAAAAAAAAAGGATGCGATTGGTTGTCTGGGGTTGTCTTCTATACAGAAGATGACAACTGTTGTTCGTATACTCACATATGGTTGTGTAACCGATCACTATGATGAGTATATTAAAATCGGTGAGAGCACTGCCATTAAATGCTTGAAGGCATTTTGTAATGTTGTTGTTGCTGTGTATACAGAGGAGTATATGCGCCCACCCAATGAAGCCTACATAGCACGGCTGCTTGAAGAAAGGGAGCAAAGAGGATTTCCGGGTATGCTTGGTTCTATCGACTGTATGCACTGGGAGTAAAAGAATTACCCAGTGGAGCGGCACGACACATATAGGGGACGATCTGGCAAGAATACTCTCATATTGGAAGTAGTTGCCTCACAAGATTTGTGGATTTGGCATGCATTTTTTGGAATGTCGGGTTCACACAATGATATAAATGTGTTGGATCATTCCTTGGTATTCAACGGCATCGTCAATGGCCAATTATCTTCGGTTAATTATGTAGTGAATGGACATCACTATAGAATGGGGTATTACCTGTTTGATGGTATATACCCTAAGTGGGCAACTTTGATGCAAACCATCCCGCACCTAACCACTACAAAAGAAAAATTATTTGCTCAGCGGCAAGAGGCAACAAGGAAAGATATAGAACGGGTTTTTGGGTATTACAGATCAATTGGGCAATAACGCAAGGACTGGTGAGTTACTGGGAGAAAGATGACTTGCGCCTCATAATGAAAACGTGCATCATCCTTCACAATATGATCATTGAAGATGAGCGTCACGCAAATGTTGGAAGATGGACTCCGCTACCGGAGGATGCAATAGTCGATGCCCATCGGTTTTAGCGGCACACATATACTCTAGTCAACTTCAGATTCGCAACAGAGAGTGGTTGCGGAATGATTTGATGAAAAATTTGTGGAACCGCTATGCTGATGAAGATGTTTAATTTATGTTGCATTTTGTTTGCTTTTAAGATGTTATGACATTTCGTATACTAAAATTTTTATTATGTAATGATTTTTTCAGATTAAAAATAATGAATTGGAATAAGAAAATAAGTATTACAAAATCCTATGGGAATAAGTAGCTGAATTTATAATTTTAATTATCTTTTTTACAAAAAGTTTTTTAAAAAAGCTTTTTTTATTTATTTTTGGCCCAAATAAATAAGGATTACAAAATAAGGATTAAAAATAATGAATTGGAATAAAAAAATAAGGATTACAAAATTCTATGGGAATAAGTAGATCAATTTGTAATTTTAATTATTTTTTTTACAAAAGTGAAAAAGAAAAATTATATATATATATTTTAAAAATTTATAACCGTTAAGGCACAAATTGTGTCTGTCAAACAGTGCTTTAACGGTCAAATGCATTGTTTGTGGTACACATTTAAAATTTAAAGCAAAAAAAAAAAACAAAAAAAAAAGCTTTTTGAATTTATTTTTGGCCCAAGTAATTTTTTTTTTTTTTCCCGACAAAGAGTGCCTAAAAAATATATTTTTTATTTAATGAATTTTATTTAATTTTTTTTTTCCTAAAAGGAGCTCAAAATAACTTATTTTTAGGTTTTTTAAAATAAAAAAAAAAATCTGCCAAAGGCACTATTTGGTGCACTGTTCTAGGAGCTACAGAATAAGACAAAAGAGGGGCAACCCAAACGGCGTCGTTCTGAAGCAAGAAAAAACAAAAAAGAAAAGCCAGCGATCGCGGGCCAGCTCGAGAGCAAAAATGGGCCCTACCAATTTTGAAGAGGTCGCTGCACGCCCAAAGCCTCTCTCTCGCGTTGAAATTAAGCTCGCCACAAATATGAAGAGCCACGTCAGCCATTTTAATAAAGTGTGGATATAAAAGATCACCATAACTGGTTCCCCTAAAATTGAATAGTAATTTATACAAATCAAGATCCAGCAACAAAAAAAAAAAAAAAAATTGAGAATTCAGAGAAAAAATAGACATATTAATGGGTGATAGCATACAAGCATAACATTACTTAAAGATATAATTAAGGAAAATAATTTGAAATTTGATCCCAATCAAGTCGAACACTCACGAGAGCCTCGTGGTCCCATCAAAGTTTGTTATAATACATGAAATTTTAATAAAAACAAAAAAAATCAGAAACAAAAATATGATCCCAAATATCATTGAAACTAGTCATTCTGAGGGCAGTTGAACGAAGGAAACTTTAGAACATTCATCCTGATAAGCTCTAGCATAATCTGTTCTGCACACAAACCATAAGACAATAATCTTTTACATATATAGTGTGTGTATATATATGATAAGAAGAGTTATGTGAAGCTTCAATTTGTGTCATACATTTACCAGTTATCTATATCACAATGATTTAGCTACACATTCATCTCTTTTTTGTCTATAAAGATGTAAAAATAAAAAATAAATCTAAATTTACCTACTAGGTAGTAATCCACAACACATGCCAACACATGTCAAGAAATTAAACACCAAGAAAACCAAAGCAAAAAGGAGAACAATGTAATGGTAGATCTGTTACACAAACTCTATTTCAATAATGCACAACTGGATAAATGATACAGAAAATGGTTTACAGCAGCTAAGACCTCATTTACTGCCCTTACCAAACATAAAAACACAAAAACAAAGATACAGTGACATTTAATGAAGAACAACTAATGGCATGCTATTATCCGTACATGTTCAGTCTAATATGCTTATCCTGTAAGGAGAAGTTATTAGCTGGTGGTATCCCAGTTTCCCTGAACATTCTGTAATAAATTATATATATATATATGTGTGTGTGTGAAAATTTAAGGATGCAGTGTTTTTCTTCCAGTAAAAGGATTGAACACCCATATGTTGTTTTTCTGGTGAGGATTGAAAATCCATTTGTTATTTTTAATAAAGATTGAACACTCATTTGTTGTTATATAAAGTATATATGTGTGAAAATATATTACAAATTCTAAAGTTTTAAAAAATTAAATGTATATATATTATATATATATATATATATAATGAATAAGTATATTTAATTTAACTTTTTAATTATATATTGGGTTAAATGCAAAAAAATACCTGAACTATTGGAGAATTAGCAACTAACCCCGTTGAATTAATAAAATTGCAGCTAACTCCCCTAAACTATGTATTTTTGTTGCAAATGATCCCATCCGACGAGACTCCGGTCGGATCCTACTTTAAAGTGGCCACGTGACCAACATTATAATTTTAATGGCCATATTGCCCTTATGAGCATGAAAATACACTAATGCCACTCATTTGACCATTACACCAAAAATCTCTTAATCAACCAAACACACCCTTATGTCACTGTTTATTGTCATTATGTGTGTGTGTGTGTGTATATATATATATATATAATTATGTGTGTATATATATAGTTATACATCTTGATTATCTTCTTCATAATAGGAAGGAATTTCTGATTAAAAAACAAAGCGTGCGCGCGCACACACACCCTCATATCAATACACATTGCCCATCATCACATACACACACAGACATATATACGCACATAATTATAAATCACTAGTAATCGTCTCCTTCACACCGCACTGCTTTTTGAAAAGGAGAAAAAAAAAAGAAAAAAAATCCGCCTTCACCGCATAAGAAGAAATGGCACAATCATGAAAACAAATCATACAAACTGATACAAAAGGACTTTTACTGAAAATTGCACGGTCTTGTGGACGGAAAAGAAATATTCCTGTAAAAAGTAATTTGAAATGTGTTTTCGTTCAATTTTTAAAAAATAATGGATTAATAGTACACTTCTTAAAATAAGGTGTGAAATTGTTGTGCCAAGTGGCACTCGGGTTGTGTTTTTTTGGACACTTTACCCAATTTAGATAAATTACAGACTAGAAGATTAAGCCTAAGGATTGAGGATTTTGAGAAAAAATAGACATGTTGATTGTGATAACATCCAGACATGACATTACTTAATTCTATAATTATAATAAATAATTGATTCCAACCAAGGGGCCTATGGACCGTAATGCAGCATTTTGAGGGAGTGTTCGGCTCTGTAGCGAGCCGAACCTTTTGGTATGGGACTCGACAACAGACAGGCCCAGAGGTTCACATTTTAAAGAGCAATTATAAAAGTGGGCCAAACACGATTTTTCTTTTGTTATTTGTTTCTGGTCTCCTACTTTCTCATAGCACTTCTCTCTCTTATCTCTCTATCTAAAAAAAAATTAAAGTAGTCCGCATTATACCGATCAGCCATATTAATAAAGTGTGGAGAGCCTATAAAGATCACCACAACTGATTCTCTAAAATTTAATCAATGTAATTTATACCTGCCTAAAGATCCAGCGACAAAAATATAATTGAGCATTTAGATAAAAAAATAGACATATTAATGGGCGATAGCATACAAACATAACATTGCTTGGGAAAATGATTTGAAGTTTGATTCCAATCAAGTCGAACACTCACAAGACGCTCACAGTTGTTATAATACATAAAAATTTAATAAAAACAACTAACAAAAAAATTCAGAAACAAAATTATAATGTGAGGTTTAAGAGAGAAAAAATAGACATGTTCACGATCCACACAAACCCCAAATATCATTGAAACTAGTCATTCTGAGGGGCAGTTGAAGGAAACTCTAGAACATTCATCCTCATAAGCTCTAGCATAATCTGCTCTGCACGCAAACCAGAAGACAATAATCTTTTACATATATAGTGTGTGTGTGTATATATATATATATGATAAGAAGAGTTATGTGAAGCTTCAATTTGTGTCATACATTACCAGTTATCTATATCACAATGATTTAGATACACAAATTCATCTCTTTTTTGTCTATAAAAAAAAATCAAAAAAAAAAAAAATCAAAATCAAAATTTACCTCCTAGGTGGTAATCCACACATGCCAATGACTAAATAGAATGTCAAGAAATTGAACTATAGGAAAACCAAAGCAAAGAGGAGAACAATGTAATGGTAGATCTGTTCACAAACTCTATTTCAATAATACACCACTGGATAAATGATACAGAAAATGGTTTACAGAAGCTAAGACCTCATTGTACTCGTATATTTACTGCCCTTATCAAACATAATAACACAAAACAAAGATACAGTGACATTTACTGAACTGCAACTAATGGCATGCTATTATCTGTACATGTTCGGTCTAACATGATTATCATGCAAGGAGAAGTTATTAGCTAGTGGCATCCCAGTTTCCCCATTAGAAAGAGGTTTCGAAAGTGCCCCATTAGAGGGCAATGGCACCCGTGGCATCAGGTCTGTGTGCAAGGGATAAGAGGGATAAGTGGGATAAGTGTACCTCTTAGAAGAGAGGCGGCCCATATCCAAGTTAGGATCAAGATAGGTGTATCTACTAGAAGAGGGTACACTCACATCCAAGCACGGCTCAAAGAACGGCTTACGTGAATGAAGTGTGGACCTAGTCTCTGTGTATGGGCCAGAAGGCATGGTGAGAAATCGATTGTCAATGGGAACACTTGGCCTAGACTCAAAGTAAGGACTGGCCATGAATCTACTCGAAGATGGTACACTCAAATCCAAGTGAGGCTCAAAGAATGGCTTATTTGAAGGAACTGTGGACCTCATCTCTGTGTATGGGCTGGAGGAGACGGCGAGAAATTGATCATCAGAAGGAACACTTGGCCTAGAATCCAAGTAAGGACTGGCCATGAATCTATCATCAGCATAACCATCTCTGTGAGGCTCAAAGAACGGTTTATTTGAAGGAACTGCAGACCTCATCTCTGTGTATGGGCTGGAGGAGATGGCGAGAAATTGATCAGAAGGAACACTTGGCCTAGAATTTAAGTAAGGACTGGCCATGAATCTATCATCACCATAACCAGTATCAGGATAATAATTTGTCAAACTTAATCGAGAACCTGAATGCAGGAAGTTGGCTCGCGTATTTCCTTCAAATTGAGAATCAGTTGGCACTCTGAAAAGCCCAGCACATCCAATAGGAACCTCTACTCTGTCACCGGTTCTCATAGCAGGAACAGAAGGCTCAATAGCTTTCCCAACAGACCCACCTTCTATTAATGGAAATCTATTGAGGTTGTGCTTTAGCGATAACTTAGCTTGCTGAAGTGCCTCCAGCACAGATCCTAGTTTATTGGAAGTATCACGGGGCATCAATGCAAGCTCATTTTGCCTCCCTTCTTTGTTGAAGAAACTACTGCCTTCATGAGAAGAAGAGATCATGTCCGCTGACGGGTTCCCAAGGGATCCCTGTGAGGGCAGATGTTGATGGGAGCTGCCTGAAGCTGGATGACCATTACTTGGTGAACATTCTTGAATATGGCTCCCCGTAGCCATAGGAAATGCAAAATCTGAAGCTGGGGATTCAGAAGCAACAACACTACTGCATTTTTTATCCTGTAAGCATCCCATATCAACGTGTGGCGGTGGCTGAAAGCCATTGATATGACTTTCAGATGATTCTTTAGTGAATAAAGCATCCCCCATCTTTGACTTCCCCTCTTGGTCTTCAGAGGAAATTGTCAGAGCAGGATATGGAGGAGCTGGTGCCTTGATTTCATCTCTCTCTTCAGTGATATCTGAGTTGTTCCCAGGATCGCATGAATCCTAAATGATTTATCATTAAGATAAGAAACAAACATGACGTAAATTAGCATTACAAAATCTATAACAAAAGGCATAAGTGAAGAGTTCTAGATATGAAGTCAATCAATGTAAAAAGGATTTAAACACCAAAGTTAATGACAACCAATGAACAGGAAGAAGTAAAAAATAAAAATAAAAATTAACAGGAAGAAGAGAGAAAAGAACCAGACGTTTATGTACCACGCGATGCTTCAGAAAGCAACTAAGCCCATGCCACTTCATCTCAAGACTGAATTTTCAGGAAACTTCTAGCCCTTTGAGGCATGCATTTCAAGCATTTTGAAGAAATTTAAATAGGGAAAGGTAAAAAGAAAAGATATTGCTATGTTCAATGATACAAGCTTGGATTTCCAAGCTTGAAAAGTGACCGTGTGCCTGAGTATGAGGATAAGCCAATTTGTGCATATAATTCAAAAGTTTAGGTTTGTACTTGGTACCCAGCAAATCCCTTTAGCACAAAAGGTTGGTGGGACAACTACCATGTAATGGCCTACTCTTATCTATTTTCTATTTTTTTTTTTTAAATAAAAATAATAAAGTGCAAACAAGCACTTAAAACCATTATTCAACATAATTTGTACTTTCCGAAACTCTTCATAAGCTCCTCTTACACACATAATTTTTATTATACATGTTAAAAGGGTCAGAATTCAACACCTTCCTTATTTAAAATTTGGGTAAACTAGAATGACCTCCCCTGAGGTTTGGTCTAATTGCAAATAAACTTGAGGTTTGCATATTTTTGCAGCTTGTCCCCCTGAGGTTTGCCTCGATTTTGCAAAGACCTCCCCTCCATTCAAAAATCAGTAATTTTCATTAACAAAAAAAAAGGGGGCAAATTATAGATAGCACCCACGAGGTTTTCATCTCGTGCACCTAGATAGAAGTATGCGCCATATATTGGTCAACCACCCTTGTGGTTTCTTTGACCTAACACATGACCACCATTCTTGAGTGATGCATCAAATCAGTGTATGGTAACTATATTTTTGGACAAAAATAACCTTGCTATTGTGAGAAGACCAAATTGTCGATTAATTGAATTGAAATTACATCATTCCAAAAGGACAAAAGTATGGAGATAATATTGGTTTTTTTAGATGTAAACCTTAAAATAATTAATCAAAATGTGAAAAATAAACAAATAAACATGATCTAGGGTAAATATGATTTATTGAAACCTAAAATGACAAATAAACCATAAAAAATGAGGGGAATATAAGAGGAGGGGTAAAACAGTAAGTTACACTCACCCACTCCCTTCCAGAATTTTCTTTTAAATAATGGTTATGTGCATTAAGGTCATATAGGTAAATTTACCTTCATCTCCAAAGGTCAACTAGTCAATTTAGACTTTGCTGTTAATTGGCGCATACTTCTATCTAGGTGCACTAGATGAAAACCTCGTGGGTGCTATATGTAATTTGCCCTAAAAAAAAATTGGTTGAAGTGACCAAAATGCCCATCAACATCATAGAAAAGACGTTATTACCCTTGTAATGTCAACAAATGACAGAAAAAAATCATGTTTAAGTGGACCAAACTACCCCTTACACTACAACGATGAAAGTAAAACCAAATAAAACACCTTTCGTTTGTAAGACCCAACCCCGTATGTGTGTGTGTGTGTGTGTGTGTGTGTGTGTGTGTATCACAACCACTTCTACCACCATCATCATCGCACCCATAACGAACCCAATTGATCATCAAAAACATCTATTTTTTATTGTATATGAGGGACATACCAAATTGGTTTGATATGGTTGTTGGCAATGGTGCTATTTCACATATATAGTATAATATAATCTGATCAGCTATTTCTTCTACCTCATAAATGTCTTAGGCGCTGAAACATATTACGTTTGGACACTGCATTTCCTTCAAGCTGTCACTCCTTAAAAACGTGAAAGAATCCTTAAATCAGTCAATGAATCTTCACCTTCTCTCCAAGTAGCAGAAACAGTGACTAGGGACATAACCTTGTTGGGTTTCATTATTTACTTCTTTCTGTATTCTTGGTTAGTTTTAGACATGTACCAATCTGGTTGCTTGTATAAACACAAGTGTATGTATAGACATGTACAGGGTCCGGGCTTGGATAAAGATTTGATTTTAGTGCTTCAGAGATGAAAATTATAGAGAGTGCTTAAACGAAAATGCAGCAGTGTCCATTGAATCCGGTGAGCTCGAGCAGACATATATAGAGAGAGTGCTGCTAGCTGGGATTCATGCTCTGAATATCATTCATGGATGAAGGAACGTCAATGGAGCAGTTTAAGTGACAAAGAAGAAAACAGAGCCCAACTGTTCCGGCGAGAAAATACGTAAAGAACCCTGTAGCAGTCAATACACATCTGAGTTCCTAGCAAACTGAAATTCATGTATCGACTCACCTAAACGGGTGCTATCAATCTCGAGCAGAGCCCTAATCAAACCCCCCCCCCCCCCCCCCCCCCCCCCCCCAACCACCATCACCGATTTCTAATCCATCCCATCCCTTCAGGTCGTTGAAGCTTCTGGGTCTTCTGCGATTTTCCAGTTGGGTCTTCTTTCTACAATTTCCAATTAGGTCTTCTTTCTGCGATTTCCCAATTGGGTCTTCTTTCTGCGATTTTTCCAATTGGGTCTTCGTTCTATGTTCGGTGTCGGCCGGATAGATGAGCTCGGCTGATGAGTTGTTCTTGAACAACCAAATCCGATCGATGAAGCTCTCATCATACTTGCAACATCCGCAAAGTTTGTCACCACTCGTTCTGGAAGAAATAGAAAGAGATTATGATGAACCCGATGATAATATAGAGAAAATAGAGAGAGGACAAGATGGAGACAGCCAAGCGAGACAACGACACCGGCAGTGAGAATGTGGTGGTGATGAAGCTTGGTTGATGGGTCTGTTTATGTGTGTGACAGTGTATTTTATACATATGAATGGAGAGAATATGTATAATTATATGGTTGTGGGTATAGGGGGCAAAATAATGAGGGTAGACAAGTAAATTCCTCACAAAATCTGACCTAAGGAGGTCTTTGCAAAAAAATGGCAAGCCTTCGGTTTATTTGCAATTAGGCCAAACCTCAGGGGAGGTCATTGCAGTATACCCTTAAAATTATTTCATTATTTATGAAGGAGTTTTTTAGGCTGACCTAGAGCGCAAGGACCGTGTCAGAGGATTTCAACATTTTGCTTTACACTAGTATTCTCGAATATGTGGTACCATATTGGATCCTAAACATATTGTTGGTAAATGAAGGAAAAGCAATGACAATAGAATACTCAAAAGAAATAACAATGCATCATAATACCACAGCCCTTCGATCATGGAACCATATCCATTAATTTTGGAGCTTTTTCCACATGCAACTGTAGAGGAGATGATTTGACAATATATGTTTAAGTCAATAGGGTTCTCTTACAAGTCTTCCTAGGAATCAACTATGTTATTATCATTTGTATGCCTTTAGGGCTTTAAGAAGAGAATGTCTTATTAAGGTACTCTAATGGGCATTGATAGTTGTAGAGAGTTTATTTTATTTGAAGGTAAGCAAAGCTATTTGATTAGGCCTCAAAGATGATAAAATTTGAAGAAAGATAGTTTGAAAAGCTTTGAACTTGTCATCTTCATCTCACAACCTTTTCTCTCTTCATTTCTCTTTATCTCTATCTATATCTACGAGGCTCAGAACTCCACTTTTCTGTCCTCCCTCTCCTCACTTTTCTTCTCTTCTAGCAAAGAGGCCCCAGATAGGCATTGTTCTCTCTTTTTCTCTCTCTCTCATATCACCCTTCTTTAATAAATTCTTCTTTTTCATTCTTCCCTTTCTCTCTCTCTTATGTTCACCTCTTTTTCTTTCTCATTCTGAGGAAACCCAGTGGAGGTCACAATGACATCAGATAATCAAGATGGCAAGATAGACCACCGAGCAAGTCATTATGTCACTGATCCTACAATTATGTTGCTAATACTGCCAGTAAAATCTGTTCCCACATCACACATATCTTGCAAATGGCTTAAAGAAGCACTTATCAAAAAAGTACCTAAAGAAGCAACTACAATAGAATATCAGCATTGTTAGTCAAGAAGGAACAACAAGCTCATGATTGTTACAGCCATAACGACCACTCTTCTCTGGTTATCTTGCAACTTGCTACAGTTTGATTCCACAACACATTTCCAAATGAACAGTCATTACACTATTTAAGTTAGCATCGTTTTCTCTATTCCTCACAATGATGTACCCAGGTCTGGCATAAGATTCAATACTGTAGACTTTCGTTGACAGCCTGTTCAACAAACCTAGAAATGTTTTAGATTACCCTGGGGTGTCGGGGGCTTAACAAACCTAGAAATGTAATGACTGACTTCAATAATGTACTTTACATCAGCTAAGTTCACATTTCACAATAAATATCGTGTATAGAAAAGCAAATGATAGAAATTCAATTTGTAATTGCACCCAAGAAAACATCAACCATCCAACAGCATGATAATGAATTCAATATCCTCGCCAATTTATCGGTAGATCAAAACAAGGAAAAGGAGAAAAGACGACAACAATTAAGATAAAAGACAAGTGCTCCTTGACCGGATGGGAGCCAAAATCATACATCACATTAGTCTGCACACAACACTAATGATACAATAATTAGAATTTAAAGTTTTTAACTAAGGAATAAAGTCAATTCCTACAATTTGATGTCAACCTTGAAATAAAATTCCTGAATGGCCAAAAGGGCATTGTTCCAATAGTCAAAACAATATTCTAAAATTATCAAGATTTAGTAAACGCGTATGAATGTTCATGAGACCAAAAGGTGCTGATAAAGCTTACCGGTGTACTGCTATTATTCTCTCTGAACTTCTCTTCCCACTCTCTTTGAGCTTTCTCCTCCGCTTCATATCGCTCAATGAGTTCTGCTTGATGTTCTAGTGCTCTTTCCATGTCTTTTTCACTTCCATGTCCATTGATATAATTGTCAGCATCAGTTACATCTCTTTGATTCTCCAAGCCCCCTGAAAGTGGACCTTCCAGTAAAACTTGTTCTCCCTGATTTTCAGATTCTACTCTCAAGAACTCAGAACCAGTGTCAGAGCAATTTGGAAAACCTTCCGAACAGGTAGCAACCCCATTGGCTTGAGGAGTTAGCATGCCAGTGTCAGTTCGTAAATCCCCATCCGCTGATCTGAAAAGACAAACTAAAACATAGGAAACTTTCGCAGCAACAGAAAATATTTTAAAAGGAGTAGAGATGGTAAATTCCATGGTGCCAGAGCAAGTTAGTATGAACTAGGAGGTCCACAAGCAGACAGACCCAATTAATTAAGATAATCAAGAGAAATTGTTTTGGTTCTATATGCAAAAACAGGTAATATTCAAAAGCTCCCCATGGTAAGAAAGTCAAGGTTGGACCAGAACCATTTGCAATCGATAAACTACACAGACCACACAAAAGTGTATAGTTTTTACCACAATAAAATTGCAATATAAATAGAACCCTTGCAATTCAATCATGGCTCTTACATAAGTTAAAACAAACGAAAGAGCAACAGAAAGAAGGTACACCAACCTTGTCTCCCTGGATCGTATCCGGCGACAAGATTTGCCAACACGTTGTTTCGGTGACTCAAAACCAATGGATGCAGAACTCCTCCGTCTTCTATTAGAAGAGTTCATATACTTCTTTTCACGAGAATGTGGAGAATCCTTGCCACTTTTCCAGGACAAGCTTCTGCCAGATAACGAAACAGATTCAAGCTCAGAACCTGAAAACTCATCCACATCATTCCCTCTCACCTTCAAAGCAACCGAACTTTCCTCCTTCACGGAATTATTGCCTACTTTAGATTCACAATGGGTCATTTCCTGATCAGAGCTTGAATCAAATTCCTCAGATAATTCACTCATTCCATGGTTCTCCAAAATGGCGAGAACATCTGCTGTTGCTTTTTCGGCCTTCTTTCTTTGGAGAGACACAAACTTTAGCTGTTCTTCCAGCTCCACTACCTATGAACATAACCAAAAATCTAAGAGTACAAAAGGAGGGCTGGCAAATACAGCTAGAGACAGACACACACACATAAATTTTGGAACAATAGATCATGCCATAAAAAGTCCACATGCAGTTGAAACAAACAGATAAAACTAACCCTATTTGCCAACTCATCAGCTCTCTGTCTTGCAGTTTTAGACACAGCTCTTTCAGACAGCAACCGTGCGCGAAGGAACTCAATTGTCATTGCAGGGGAATCTTCCATGCTACTGTTCTTCCTGATTAATTCAAACCAGTATAAAAAAATAAAAAAACCAGGAGCAAAAGTTCCATAAAACACTAATATCCTAGTGAATATCAGTTCTGAACATAAGTATAAAATATTGTATACTTCCATTCCAAATAATAAATTTAATTATTCAGAACTGTGTTCTATTCATTCTCTCGGTTTTCTTCTCTATAAGAAAAAAATTCCAACAATAAATTAAAATCTAGCAAGATATTATAGCTATGTTACATGGACTTGGGTACGTGTGTCGGGTATGGGTACGTATCCATGCATCAGACGTGTCAAATCGCTAAACAGAAGGACACACATACACTAATATTTATATCTAATATAGTGTTCAATCAAGGCATTTAACTCATTTTAAAGTAATAATACAATATAATTAAATGATTGGATATGCTTTTTAAGTACATGTCCAACCAAAAGTGTCGAATACATATTCCATACCCATGTCCGAGTAATATGTGTCCAACACGGATACAAAAAAAAAAATTTAGTACTCAGAACTGTTAACTCTATTCTCTCTAGGTTTTCTTCTCTATAAGAAAAAAAAATTCAACAATAAATTCAAAATCAAACAAGATAGAGTTTATAGGTATGATATTATGTGTCACTAATTATCTTCTTGTTCAAATAATACATCTCAACTATGTGATTTTTTTCCATAAGTCTGTCCCTAAGATACCACATCCTAGAGTATGTGAAGCACCTTTTTCCCAATCCTAAATTGATCCATCTACTTGTACCATTGATGCATACTAGCGCAAATACAAAATTAACATAAACCTTAACCTCAATAGGTAAGGATCTTGCATTAATACCATTGCAAAATAGTGAAGAATGCATCACCTTGAAACAGACCCTAAAAACCGTTACCCCAAATTCAATTTCTTAAAAACGTGAGAGAAATGAAAAAATATGCTGAGTAAAGAAGACCCCCCCCTTTTTTTTTCTTTTTTTTTTTTAAACTTCTAAACATTGTTTCCACCAACAGGCCTGTGGCCTAGCAGTACAAGACTCTTATTTCCCAAAGGGAGGTCAGGAGTTCGAACCTCAGTGGAGGCAGTGTGTGTGAGTCCATACTAGGAAAAAAAAAACATTGTTCCCCGTTCTCTCATTCTTTTAGAGAAACAAATAGAGCATGAATTTGCAAGAAAACAAAAGATTATCAATAGTTAAATGTTGAATTCCCATCATTACCCCGGAAGAAGAACCCATTGTTATTGAGAAAGCAAACAAGCCCATTTAATCAACTTAAAGTTAAAACCCATGGAAGCTAGAGCCCCTACAGAAAACCAGAAAAGCTAAATCGTCTGATCAAAACCATGGATCAAATCCCCATTCATCGGGGATTAGTGTTAATGTCTAAGGGAGGGTAGTACCACTAGGAAACTATAGATATAAACCTAACATAAGAAACCCATTTGGTGGAGCTGAAATGACCTTTTCCTATCTTGGGAAACTAACAATAAAACGGACAAAATGTAAAAGTTCCAATTTTCTTTTCTTTTTTTTACTCCATTTTCTGAGAGAATGAGAACTGGGTAATTCAAATCACTATGAAATTCCAAATAAACCCAAGCTCAAATAATTTCTGAACTATCATTTACAAACAAAATAATCCCATGAATAAGTGAGCTAAAATAGATTTGGTCAATATAGAACAATCGGATAATAAAACACAAAATCATAGAAAATGGGAAGAGGAATCGATCAATACCTCTGATCTCGATCTTGTTGGTTCGTTGAATTCTGCATCGTCAGAAGCAAAACCCTAACCAAACCTTCACAAAGAAAAAAAGGAACTTGATCTTCAATTACTAAATCACACGAAATGAGTATAAATTGAGGGTGATTAAGTGATCAAACACAAAATTAAACACGAAAAGATAAGTGGGTTTTTGTGAGAGAAGCAAATGAATCGAATTGGAGAGTTTTACCTTAGGGGTTGCCACTTCAACGGGGATTGTTGGAAACCCTAATGAGGCGTTTGGTTTCATCATTGCAGGTGGAGCTTACTACTACTATGAGAGAGAGAATAGAGGAGAGAGAGAGTAGAGGGAGATTGTGAAGTTGGTGACTTCGAGGGGTCGTTCTGGGAATGATCACAGGAAGCTTCCCTTCTAAGACCACTTCGAACAAACGCAACAATGTTCGCGGGACATTGGTGTCTGGTCCAATGTCTATAGAATTATTAGTTACTCGTATTACTCTAGCCTTTTCATTTTTTCAATTATTTATTTATTTATATATATTGTGAAAAAAAAAAAATCAGAATATTGTATCCTTAAAAATAATAATAATATATACAAGTTGACTCCACTTGTGCAGTTTTTTTTTTTTTTTTTAAGTTAGTGTTAATATATTTTTTCATATTTTAATCAAAATATTTTTTAAATATTATCTTTTAATTTAATTTAAAAATTAAGATATTTTAAAAATATATATGACTAAAGATTTTCATTGATCAAGAATCATAATTATAGTCAGAAAAAATCCCCAATTTAACAGGGAAGAGAGATAACATGGACAAATAAATAATCACATTGAACTTTGAAATTCATTAGAATCATAAGAACTAGGTAAAGTGCACAAACCCTACTATAGCCCTTTTGCAAATAACTTCTCTGAATTAAATTGTTCCCCTAAATTATTGATTCGTTGCAATTAAGGACAAATTTATCAAAAAATACTATTTTATCATTTTTCATTAAATTTGTCCTTTCTTATTAGATTATATATATATATATTTTTTCTTATCTAAAGATTAATTATACAAGTTACCTTAATTTTATTATTAATATCAATTTACCATAAAAATGAAATAAACAAATAAATAGATTTGTAATTATTGATTTCTAATATGATTAACTTATTATTACAACTTTACTATTAAGTAAAACTTATTATACTTAGTTTAAAAATACTTTCTTTTTCATACAGTATATTCATGAAAATTTAACAAATTATTTAAATAAAAAGCACATTAGAAAATTAAAATTGACGACCGAGAGCCATAATTTAGCTGTAAAATTAAAGGTAAGGTTCAAATTATTGTAAAAATAAATAGGAGTATAATTTTTTTTTTGAAAAAACATAAATTAAAATAGAATGGAAATGAAAAGGAATACCATATACTTCAAGTATAGTGGCAAAAAGAGTCGATTTTAAAATGCTAGAGAAGAGCTGAAAGGGTTTGTTGGGCTTCAACTAGATTAGAGAATCTGCAAGATTGTGCATTGCTTGTTTACGTTGATCCACTCTGACCATCACCTTCAGGCCCAAGTTAACCCATTATATTCAATAGAAGAAGCCCAAATTAACACTAGCCCAATTTGAATACATTATGGTCCCAATTTTAGGCTAAAAATAATTCCTGGTACCTGGGACAGCTTGTATTGGGCTTGTTCCTGTTTGGGCTGGTATGGCCCAACTGAAGACGTTTTTGATCCTTTGCCACATATTTATACATTTGCTTAACCCTTCCCCCATATATATATATATATAATTGTAAGTCAATCCAAATGGGGCAAATAATGATCATAAAGAATTGCACTGTCATTTATTTTAGAACTGTGATCGATTCAGCATTGAGTGTGAAGAAAGAATTTGCTAGTTTTCTTTGTTACTATTTTATGGAGCATTATCTTTTTTAATGTGCATGTTCAAACACTAACTTCGCCTTTGTCAAAAAAGTATTTAAATATCAAAGGTATCATATCCCGGGGTCATTTCAGCCCTTGGATGTGATGGACGATTATCATCACGTTTATGATCCAATGACTTTCACTATTTTATAATATATATAATATTTGAAGTATTTAATATATATATATATTAAATCGATGATACAGGATGTGTTAATACTTGATACAGATGTAAATACTATATAGCAAATGTTATGTTAACATTTAAACTAATATTATTATAACATACTATCATGCTCGACAACTATTTTAATATGATAAAAAAAAACATGGGCACCAAAAAATTATTATTATTACACAAAGAGCTTTGTCAGGATGTGCAAGTCAACCCTGGTTATATATTTTGCTTAAAATACAAGTGGCTCTTTTACAATATTTAAAAGTCCAAATCATGGATTTGTTTAAAGTAAGATTATAATTTTATAGGGCAATCATGATATTGCAAATGAACTGCTGACCTAAGATCTAATTTATTTTTATTTTTTTCACACTCCACCGACTAAAATTTTGTTATATATATCACCAAATAATCTTGTAGTACTTTTCTTCAGTCTGAAGTAAAAGGCTAACACACATGGACAAATATTAGCCTTTTACTTCAGACTGAAGAAAAGTACTACAAGATTATTTGGTGATATATATAACAAAATTTTAGTCGGTGGAGTGTGAAAAAAATAAAAATAAATTAGATCTTAGGTCAGCAGTTCATTTGCAATATCATGATTGCCCTATAAAATTATAATCTTACTTTAAACAAATCCATGATTTGGACTTTTAAATATTGTAAAAGAGCCACTTGTATTTTAAGCAAAATATATAACCAGGGTTGACTTGCACATCCTGACAAAGCTCTTTGTGTAATAATAATAATTTTTTGGTGCCCATGTTTTTTTTTATCATATTAAAATAGTTGTCGAGCATGATAGTATGTTATAATAATATTAGTTTAAATGTTAACATAACATTTGCTATATAGTATTTACATCTGTATCAAGTATTAACACATCCTGTATCATCGATTTAAAAAAAGACATATGTATTAATGTCGTCGTAGATTTAAGGCCCATAAGTCATAACCATCCATTTGTAGGCTTGGAGGGTGAGAGAATATATTCAAGTTAACACACAATTGTTAGAAAAATAAATAAAAATTATTAAGTTTTTTCATTGAATTCTTCACTATGAAAAATATTAACTTAAAAAAAATAAAAAAATAAAGTGTCAGTGTCATTTTCTCTTCCTAAAAAAAGAGAATGAAGGTTCAAGTTTTTATTTATTTATTTATTATTTTATTTTATTTTATTTAAAGGTAAGATAAAGCGCCTACTCACATAATATTGCTTCTAATTTGGTTCAAATTTTCAATTTTTTTTTTTAAAGAGAAAAGATCATACCATCTAAAATAACACAGATTAGTAAGTTCTTGTTCTTGAGGTTTTTTTTTACGTATGACTCTTTGTAAAAAAAATTACTTCCAAAAGGGAATAAACTCAATTTATAAGCTCAACTTTGGTCTCCCAAACCCTTTGAAAAGAGTTATTAACTTTAAATATGGCAGGCTATTTTCTTCTAAGGCACGTGCAAGACCATTTTAACATCAATTAGAGGAGGAGGTGGTGTTGCCTCGAGGTCTTGAAGTTGCTGTAAGATATATTGTATACCTTAGTAGTAAAATATTGTGTACAAATTGGCACTTGAGTTGGATCTTAGGACAAAATCAATATCTTATCTATGCCATTCATAATTATACCAAATAAAAAAAAAAAAAAAGTCAATTGTACCAAAGGGCTTGTACCGTGATGGCATTTTCTCACTTTTTAAAATAAAAGATCGAGAGTTCGAGTCTCCGTATGAGAAAATTCAATCTACCAAATGAGATTCGGATTAAATTAAAGGTTGATTAAGTTGTGATTAACTCTCTAAATAACTTAGAGGAGGTGATTAGGTCAACTTGACCACTTTTTGTAATTGATTAATTTATTCAAAAATATGATTGAATAAACATTCACAATCACAAAAATAAATATTGAAAAGTAAAACAAGAAAAGTAAAGATTTTAGATAGGACACTTGGATTTTTAGCAAGAAAACCAATCAACAAACCTCGAGATTTTTTCCGCTATCTCTAGCATAAAACGATCCATTATGTATAAAACAAAGTACACTGAATTTTGACTCAGGCTCACACCCCTTCACTCTACCAAGACCCAACTTGTTGAACACCCTTGGCTTTGCGACCTCCCGTCCAATAGCTCTTGACTTTAGACTTATGTCTTGAATCTTGTAGAATGATTGTTGGTAGATCAATAACACTCTGCAAGTGCGCGCCTTGACCACTTCAAAGTGTGATCTTCCTCAAATCTGAATTTTATGTGAAAATAGATAAGATCTTGTTTTTCAAAATTTTTGAATCTTTAATTATGCTCAAATTGTGATTAAATAGAGAATAACACCTCTAAATCACTATTGTGTTTATGTGTGTACTCTAAAAAAAAAAAAAAAGTAAAAAAAAAAAAAAAATCTAATTGATTTTCTGAAAAATATCTCTCAAAAAGCTTTGTAAAAAATAGTTAAAAAATCATGTTCCAAAAACCCTAACAGTTTTTGAGTAAAAGAGATATTATATAAAATTTTGGAAGATCTAAAAATACTTGGAAACAAGTCAATTTTGTGCATGACATTATTGAAGAAGTCTATCCAACATAGGAAGTCAAAACAGACCAGGAAAAGAGTTACCAAAAAGGTCTGCAAAAGTTAAACCAGTTCAAGTTGGCCAGAAGTGAATCTTTGCAAAACTTTAAAACTTGAACCGATTTAGAGAAAGTTGAACTGGTTCAAGTTGGCTAGAAGTTGATCTTTAAAAAACACATTTGAAAGTTGAACCAGTTTAGAGAAAGTTAAACCGGTTCAAGTTGCCCAGAAGTTGATATTTGAAAAACACATTTGAAATTAAGTTGAACCAATATATTCAGAGAAAGTTGAAACAGTTCAAGTTGGCCAGACTTGAACTTCGATAGGATGCCTTAAAAGTTGAACTAGTTCAAAGAAGGTTGAACCAGTTTAAGTAAGGTAGAATGAAACACTTAGAAATTTTTCCTAAAAAGCCTAATTTTGAACCAATGCAAATATCCTCACACACTTACTTACCTTTATAATGCGTTGTTATCATCATCCTAAAGTGCATCAAAGTATGAATACGACCACTTCTTTAATTCTGCTTCCGATCTTAAATATTGACAAATCAAACAAAAAATTTACAATTCGATCGGACTTGTTTTGTCAATGAATTAATTTTGCCAAATTACAAATTTATATTTCACAAGGTTATGTCTCTCCATATTAAACTCAATTTAAAATTGCTCAAATTAAAACAATCTCAACTTAAATTAAATCTCTAATCAAACTCAATTCATCTCATGTCCTCAACATGACAACATCCAACCAGAAGTTAGGTTAGAGCTGCGAGATATGACTTATCATATCTTAGCAATTGCTT